GGTGTTTCGTGACCCTTTAACTTCTTTTACACACAAGCACAACCAAGAACAAAACAATGTAATTTTACAGTCAAATTTACAAATGCTTTAACACAGTATGTCAGAACAGATAACACCATGTTCTAAACAGAAATTATATAGGATAAAGTCAAAGTGAACAGCTGTTCTAATTGTGAATTGAAACACAAGTTTATTCCCTGTATTTTATCCAATTGCCAATGAGAAACAGCATATTGCGGTTATATAAATAAATAAATAAATGTATATATAAAAAAAAAATATATATATATATATATAAAAAAAAAAAAAAAAAAAAAAAAATATATATATATATATATATATATATATATATATATATATATATATATATATATATATATATATATATATATATATATATATGACAGCTGATTCCCATCTAGAAAGCACACTCATGTCTTGTTTTGGTTTTTCCAATCACATGATCATATGTTCTAATAGAGGACTCTTGAGGTTTTTGAAAGGAACAGTGAGCGCATCAAAGAACTCTGTCACCAATACGTCCATGTAAGATTATGCAATACAGTCATTACTGTACTATACACAGTGTGTTTTGCAGTAAACTACTCTTTAAACCTGGAGTTCATTAGTACATACAGTACATATACAGTACAGCATTTGCATATACTGTGTCTAATTACTTTCAGAGAGTCATGAAGTTAGAGGCCAATCAAGTACCACATGAAATTTTCAATGTTGACAAGGCTGGGGATGTCGCCGTAGGAAAAACATAATAGGCCAAAGGGCCACAGTTACCGTGCCGGGCCACAGAAGATATCAAGTATAATTAGGATGAGAACATGTGGCAAAAGACCGGGCAGAAAAGAAGATTACGTTGTTATTTTATTATAATTGTGGTGCTTTTTCTGTTTGCAGTGATGTCCTTCTAAAAAAAAGTATGTACTGCAGAAATTCTGTGTCTGTATTTTTTTTACATAAACTGTAAATTTTGTATAGAATTTTTGCAGTAAAAGAAAGAAAATGCATGCATTTACTTAACCCAATGAAACAAAACAGTAACGAGAATTCAAATATAAGGGCAGAGCTGACACATAAACTAATGCAGTTTCTGTAATGTCAGCTGATGATAGTGTTTTTATTGTCAGTGTGTTCTGATTGACTGAATGTTTATGTTGGAAGAGAACATGTGTTTGTGTTTTGAACAATAATTTCATTTTGAAACATGATTGCAGTGTTTTGTTAGACATGGTGTAGTGTGTTCGTTTATTATTGTATTTTGAAAAGTAGTCTAGAGGTTTAGTTTATAATGTTTGATTTTGAGCATAAAATTAACTGTTTTGCCAATTGTGTATTTTAGGTGTGTTGCTGCGTTAAGAGTTTAGCAAACTTGTTAAATGTATTGAAAAAAGTGTCATAGCCATTGTAAAAAACTGTATGTATGCAGTGCAACTTCATTAATATGCATAATAGCTTTGAAGACTGTTTTTACTAGTTACAGTGTTTAGCCAGCAGAAAGACGCCACACTGTTTTGCCAAAACAAGCGGGAGAACAAGAATTGTTCTTGAGTTACGGGTCGTCAGTGTTTTTTTTATAATTTGCTGCAGTGAAGGTTTTGTTCCCATTTTCTCTCTATGAGAGCGCAGCTGGACTCACGTGTGGATTACAGTGCATGCGACGCGCGGCATGTCTAAGGAACATTTTTACCCAAGAGCTTTTCTCATCTAGAAACGGTGAAATCCGGATTTGCTGCTTGTCTCCTTTTGATAAAGACCCGGCTCCAGTTGGTGTTGATTGTCCTGTCTCTATAGATTTGGTAAGTGAGTGATCAGAGGTCTTTGTTTATTTATTCAGAGGCAAAGTTAGTTCGTATCGTCAGCAGTACTGTTTTGGCCCCCTTCCACTGAGTGGTACGGTACGGTACGGTTCGGTTCGGTTCGGTTTGGAATGCTTTTATGGCCGTTTCCACTGTCAAAAGGCGTACCGAACCAAACCGTACCGTACCACTTTTTCGCCACCCATTCGAAGGGGTCCCAAACACAAGAAAGGGTACCAAAAGGCAGAGCTAGACGCGCAGCTGAACGCTATTGATTTACAGAGATACGTCATTCGCTTAGGCAACAAGCCATAATGTAAACAAAGGACCCGCCATGTTTGAAATACACAGCGAGAGATTACTTGCGCTCGCTGCGCGTCTATATCTGAAATAAAAAACTTCTTGAGCTGATAATTATAATGTGCGCTTGATTATTGACAAGCTTTGGAAACCCGATCCTGTAAGAAGCTGACAAACGCGCGAATGACTCATTCAGAAAGAAAAGGACAAACATGGGAGTGGAGCGCTGAAAAAAGGGGAAGCCAAGGAGCACGTTATTTCTTCAGCAAACGTGAACAAACTGCCTTGTTTTAATTTTTATCATCCCTTTTGGACTAATATGAACTGGGAATGATGGAATGACTCTCTAACAGAGGCTACATGTGCCGCTGAAGATTACAGACACAGATGAGAGGTTTTCACTGACTGTAGGCTATACTTTGTGTTGTTTTGAAACTAATTAAGGACGAAATGTATGCTGTGTGTACTTTTTCCGTAGTTGGTAACATATCGGGGACTGTAAGGGTCTGTATGTGTTCATATATGTTCATTGATCTGCAGTTACAATCAACTCATGTTCATAGAAATGTTAGTAATAAACATTTATACAGAAGTATTTATGTGTGTAAAGCATCTGTTTTGTGAGAAGTGCTTTTCATATGATATGTGAGAGACATGTGCAGCTTTATTGTAGACATTTTCTTGAGCGAGCATGACGTCGACTGAAACTTTGTCCTATACCACGCCCACCAAAAGGGAACCCTTGCTAGTGGAACCGCAAGCCTGATAAAGGTGACCCGTACCGACCCGAACCGTAACGTACTGTACCAGTCATAGGAAACGAGGCATTTCAGTGTTTAAAGACGAACCTTAGTCAAATGATTTCTAAGTTAATAAAGTTTACCGTACGCTAATATCACTACAATATTATGGACTGAAAATCTGCTGTAAATGCTGCTCTCAGAGTGTAAACATGTAAGCACCACAATCAAACTACCGTCATGTAGGATTTTAGAATTTAGGATTTATTTTAGATACAACTTTGTAGCTTTTTGGTACCAAAATGCACCCTATAGAAACAAAATGTACCTTTTAAAAAGCTACCATCCCAGTGACAGCTTTTGTACCTTTATTTCTAAAACGGTTGACAAAAACTCCAAATAAGCCCTTACATAAATCTTAATATTGACAGGTGCATTAAATCCCAATCCAAATTCCACCCCTTAGCTATTCCCCTTATGTTTTGCGCATTCACGTGAAGGGGTAGGGATGTCCCAATTCTCTTTAGCTTGAAGGCGTAGGGCTAAGGGGAAGGGCTAGACACCCCTTGAAACGGATATATTTCAGGACCACACTTAAACCCAAGGGGAACAAAAATTTCCGAGAACACACCATCTACCACGGCAGCATGGCTGCAGAGGTAAGGAGATTCAAAAATTAGTATTTTTGTCATTATTACGTATTTTTTACAACAAAAAAGCATACAGTTGAAGTTAGAATTATTAGCCCCACTTTGAATTTCTTTTTCTTTTTTAACTATTTCCCAAATGATGTTTAACAGAGCAAGAATATTGTCACAGTTTGTCTGATAATATTTTTTTCTTCTGGAGAAAGTCTTATATGTTTTATTTCGGCTAGAATAAAAGCAGTTTTTAATTTTTAAAATATCATTTTAGGGACAAAATTATTAGCCCCTTTAAGCTGTACATATTTTTAGACAGTCTACAGAACAAACCATTGTTACACAATAGCTTGCCTAATTACCCTAACCTGCCTAGTTAACATATTTAACCTAGTTAAGCCTTTAAATGTCACTTTAAGCTGTATAGAAAAGTCTTGAAATATTAGGAAAATATTATTTACTGTCATCATGGCAAAGATAAAATAAATCAGTTTTTAGAAATGAGTTATTAAAATGTTTAAATAAAATATTATTAAAATATATTTATAATAATAGTATTAAAATATTATTATGTTTAAAAATATGTTGACAAATCCTTCTTTCCGTTAAACAGAAAATGGGAAAAAAATAAACAGGAGGGCTAATAATTCTGACTTTAGCTGTATGCTTTAATATATTCACAATGGCGGTCATGCTTTAAAACAAAAAAGCTAAAATGAAAACCTCTAAATTTCACCATCTATAATCCATACCCTCTCAGAAATAAAGGTACATTTCTCTTAAAATTTGTAGGTACTAATATATACTTTTGAGGTACCAATATGAACCCTTCAGGTACAAACTTGTACCTTTTTAAAAGGTACCACCCCAGTGATAGCTCGTGTACCTTTATTTCTAAAAGCATAATAATAACTCCTGTACAGCAGTCCCACAACATACCCTATCCGAATAGTCTTGACTCTAGTGGCTGGAAATGACCTTTTTACAGTGTCTGCTATAATGTTAATGTTGTTTTTGTGTGTTTGCACAGAGGAATATGGCCAGGTTGTAAATACATAGTACAGTTACGATCTTATTGCCACTTTATGTCTTTATGATAACATGATAGCCTTCAGTGATTTCCTGAAAATAAACACCAAAAAATAACACAACTGGAATAACTACAGCAGTCACGATCGTCTGATCTCATTTGAAGTAAGAGATCGCCATGACATAATGTGTGCAGGGGTAAATTTTACAGCCCTTCCCCTTCACACTTTGTCAAGGGGAAGAAGAAAGGGAAGGGGTACAAAAATAGAACTGGGATTGGGCCTAAAATACAGCATTTTAGATTTTTTTTTTTTTTTTTTTTTTACATTAAGTCAATTTCCTAAAAAAATTAAGTAGGTCATAGCTTAATGACCACAGACAAATGTGGGTCACATAGTCAAACTAGTTCAACCACTGCTGTAAATCAAAAATAAACAGAAATGGCCATTCAAAAGACAAATTTTCCTGTCTGATACCTTATGCAAATAGCCTTTGGAGTCTCCCAGGAAGACAATGGTGTGCCCCTCCTTCACACTGACGGCGACAGCAGTGAGCCGAGCGGACGGGCTGTCCAATACAGCTTCAGCCTCCACCGGCTCGCGGCTCGCCATTGGACTCGGGGTGTGGTCCGAGCCGCAGGGATAAGCGTTCAGGGTGTTCTGCGGGAAACAAAAACACATTTACGTGACTCCACTTTTGGCAGAATCATCATGACATAATCCAGTTTCATGTTGTGTAATAATAAACTCAGGGATTTCTTTTTTTGGTACGGTAAGGGTTTAGCTCTCATTGCCTCAAGGCTGTCAAATCCTCTTAGTTCACAAAGGCTGATTAGATGAAGATTATCTTGGTCTCACACTAGGATGGCAAGGCTGTTCTTTTCTTTGAGGCTAACGCTATCAAATCTGCTCCAGCCGTCTTTGATAAAATCTAGCCTGAATGTCATACCATGCTCCATGTTTATTAGAAGGGATCTGCACTGCTGTTTTTGTACCAGACTGAAGAATAAACATATGGGGATCAGGAAAACTGGTTTGCATGGTAGAGGATTTGGGAGGCGGTGTTTGTTTTGGGATCGGTAAAAGCCGGCTTGGAGGGAATGTTCACCCGAAAATTAAACGTTATTTATTTACACTTGCAGTTAAAACAAAGGGAAATTCTTTCTTCTGGGGAACGCAAAAAGGCAACTTTTGAAGCATGTTCAAGCTGTTCACTTCAAAATAAAATACTTGTTAAGTTGTAAGTAAACCAAGGATGAAGTGTTTTACAACAGGGGTTCCCAAACTTTTCAGCCTGCAACCCCCAAAATGACAATGCCAGTGACTCGTGACCCCCAATATTCTCTGAGGTGGTGGTTTTAAATACAGAAACCTTGTATGCAATGACGCACACACACACCAATAGACCCAAGTCTATTCTTTGTTTTTTTTTTTTATGTATGTCAATGCTGTAAATGGGCTAGAAAGTTTAACCTGGTGTTATAAAATCAATCTGCTGCATCTGACAGTATATGCCTTCAGTATAATGTAATTACCAGAGAAGTCGCAATCCAATAGAACTAGTAACTATAAGCTACTATAGTAACTATAAACGACTATTTTTTCTCTTCAGTAAGTTATTGATAAAATACAGTAAGTCTTAAGGTTTAATAAAAATTAATTGATTTTTGAAAATCACCAGGCGACCCCCCCCCCCCTTCATTGTCCCGCGACCCCTCGGGGGGTCCCGACCCCCACTTTAAGAACCTCTGTTTTACAAGATAATACAATTTCAGCTTTACTGCTTCAATGTCATCAAATTGACAGATTTGTACAGACCAACATTTAAAGGGATAGTTCACAATTTAAAAAAAAAATGTTCTCGCTATTAACACTGCCTCAGATAGCTTCAAAACTTTATGAGTTTCTTTATTCTTTAAAGAATAAAATATGATATCTTGTAGGCAGTAGTAAACCAGTAACCATTTACTTCCATAGCAGGAAAAAACAAATACTAAGGAAGTCAATGGCTACAGGTTTCCAGCTTTCTTCAAAATATCTTCTTTCAACAAGTCATCATGTGAAGGTTGAGTAAATGATGACAGAATTTTCCTTTCTGGGAAGTGATTTAAGTATATAAATGTATAAAATATTTAATATTTTGGATATTACAGTTATTGTGTGTCTTCAGGTATATGCTAAATATGATTTAATCTATGGTATGTCTATGGCATTTTAATTTTTTGTAGAATTATGTTAGCAAAGCAAATAACAAAGAAATTATGTTAGGAGAAGAATATGGTCAACAAAACTTAGCAATGTTGGGCCCTATCATACACCCGGGGCAATAAGGTTCAAGACGTGTATGATGCAATTTGTTGATATTTTCAGATCAGCCCAACCCTAATTTTCCCGTTTTGCGCCACGTTGTTTAAACTGCTAATTTTATTTGCTGCGCTTTGTGGACTCATGGGCATGTCAGAAAGGAGGTATGTTAAGGCTTTTTTTGAGGAACTGGAATAGATTGCGCCATTGACCAACTAAAAGCTGGTCTTAAGTCCAGAGCAGAGCACATTAGTTATGCGCCTATGCAGGTCCAAATGCTAGCACATTGCTTAACATACACAGGATGTTAACATACACAGCAATATACAAATATCTTTATATATGAAAAAAATTAAAGGATTAAAATGTTACAAAAAAATTCTTATTTTATGCATAAATATAAAATCCACTACCACCATGCCTTCTTCCTATCTGGGGAGCCTTTTTCAGTTTATTCATGATAATCTGCATTAGTATAATGTTATTATTATCATTATTATTATCTGGATTATTTATTATATGCATATTTATATTTGTTTTAATAAAAAGAAGTTTAGATTTGTCCACCTGTCAGGTTTTGCAGTTGTTTGCATCACCATATGGAGCATAGGAATGGGGCGTGTGTTTGAGTGTGTTTTTGACCACACTTCATTATTATTGTTCATTTATTCGTTTGCTGGAAATTAGAACTGAATTTAGAAATAGTTTTGAAACAAATCTTTGCACTTAACAAACAAAATTAAATATGTAGGCTAATGGATGTCTTAAATGGAGTGGGTTTTCTTATCCACAAAAGTAAAGGAGTAAAGTAAAAGTAAAGTAAAAAGAAAGTAAAGAGGCCAAATGGAGGAGGCTCATTCTTTATCCTCACTGCAGATGATCTATTTAACTGTTTACTCGCTAGTGAAAATACAATTTTTAGTTATGAATATGTTGAAAAATTATCTCAACTCTAGTGTATTTATAATACTTTTGTCAAGTCAATTATTTTAACAGTCATTTAACTATTTAGCAAGACAACCTAAATAAAATAATATGTTTACTGTGTCTAACCACAGATACAGGGACACTGGAGCTTTTCAAAGTCACGTCAGATCAGTTGGTTTGTCTATAAGCTGACATACAAGCCATCCACTGATGAACTGTGGCTTTAAAACACTCCAATGTTCGTCAATCTGTGGTTATACTCAGTAAACAGAGGTGAGTTAGGTGAACTGATGATCTTCATGGCTGATCTCAGTCATTTCAGTTGAGCATGTGAATACATTGGCAAATCAGCGCTGTTTAAGAGCGCGCTCAACATCGCTCAAATGTTGTTTAACATTTTCGCTCAGATGTTTGTAAGTATCTGAGCGATTTTAAGTATCCAGTATCATAATAACCCTTTATAATGATTTCATTTTACATTTATGCAGAAATATTTTTGTATTTCAACAAAACAACAACACAATTATGCGAAAAATAAGAAAACTATTAGGCTGTATCTAGTATATATTGTATATCATCTCATTTGTGTTATAATAAGCGTTATGGCTATTCTACCAAAAGTCATTTGGCTTTATGAAACATGAAGATAAATAAATGATGTCATAAATCCAAAAGGCTGTTGTTAAGGTAGGTAAACTTTCTAAAAGTCTCCTAGATATATTCACCCTCAGCCATATATTTATCTTCTCTACCCCCTGTACAGCAGACATCATTAGCAGTTTAAGCTAGTGGGGCTTTTATTGATCTGAACAACCCTGTTTAGGAGTGAGCAGGCCCGGCTCTGGCTCTTAAACAGACAAACACACAGAGGTCAAGAAGAGGCTGTTTGCATTTCGGTTCTTTGATTTGTCCAAAGATCTTGTTAGGAGTAACGTGAGGTACGTCTGTCTTGTGCTCATCAAAGAGAGAAACCGTAATTCGCTCAGAACATGGCAGGCAGAATCGCATGAACTAAAGCAATTTGCCTGGGAATTAATGAGGAGCAATGCATCTAAATCAGGACAAACGTTGGTTTGGATCCGCCGTTAGAAGAAAACGATGTGGTTCGGTTCCCAAGGGTTACGTTGTGGGCATCCGTTTTCCCATATTCCCATGCTTTTCAATCAAAGTTAAACTACTGTGATGATTATGTGGAGGACGGTTGACCTCAAAAGCTATTTATATGGATGATTTATGTGTATAAGGTTTCAGCGTGAAGACATGAACTGCGTCTGTCAAATGTTCCTGCAAAATAAACACGAGAGGAACGTGTTACGTGACAACTAGGTGATGAATCAAATATCTTTCTACTGTCAATTAAATATTCTGGCTTCTCTTTAGTCTATTTAAGAGATCGTTCACCTAAAAATGAACATTTACTTACACAAAGTTATAGTTTTTTCTTCTGTTGAACCAAAAAAAAAAGTTATTATATATATATATATATATATATATATATATATATATATATATATATATATATATATATATATATATATATATGAGCAATTGAGCAATTCCATGAAAATGTCAACCTTGCCATGAAAAGAAAAATGTTTTCACCAAAATAGCGAAACCGTTTCTACATTTTTTGCGCAGGCAAGTGTTTTACAGTACTTTAAAAATACTTTAAAATGTCTCTGTCAATGTTTTCAAACTATTATATTTGATTTACCAAAGTCAAACAAATGACAATTTCACATCCGTCACATCCATAACGAAAAAGTGTCACATCCATAACAAAGCTTTTCCCTCAAAAATGCAAAAATGTCAAAATAAAATAAAATCAATCAGTTTTGTTCTATAAAGAGCCAACTCTTATCCTTTTGTTGAGCATTATTTATTTTGGGTTGTGCAGTTTAATTCACAGAATTTCTAGGAAATATGTTGTATACTGTAAACTCGCAGACTTTTTTTGTCACATCCATAATGCTTGTTTATTTTCCTCATTTAAGGTATAAAAATGTTCACAGATTGAATTTTTTTGATCCCATAACTCTGTGGTTAGTTGTTTTGGAAAATATAAACAGATGGTTCAATATAATGTTAACGTATACTTTCTCTGCGAATTTATGTTTTGAATTTTTACTGCAAATGTCACATCCATAACGCTGGAATCAGCCATATATATATATATATATATATATATATATATATATATATATATATATATATATATATATATATATATTGAAGAATGTTGGGAAAAAGCAGCTATTGGCATCTATAGTAATACTGTGGATGTTAATATTCTTCAGTACAGTTTTTCTTTTTCTTTTCAAGATCTTCAAACACCTTTGGAACAAGTGGAGGATTAGTAAATGCTTCAATAAAAAACTTTATTTTAAACACAGCATATTTGTTGTATATTTGTAGTGTACTTATATTTATAATACCAGATCAACAGATATACTCTTACTTTTTGCCTACAGGTCAATATCTATTCGTTCATTTTCTTTTCGGCTTAGTCCCTTTATTATTCTGGGGTCGCCACAGTGGAATGAACCGGCAACGTATCCAGCATATGTTTTACAGCGGATGCCCTTCCAGTCACAACCCATCACTGGGAAACCCATACACATACTCATTCGCACACACCAATTCACCTATACCGCATGTCTTTGGACTTTGGACCACATCGCCCAGTTAGGTCAATATGTTTTTTCAAATTATGATCCATTATATAGTGGGGGAAATAAGTTCCACTCTCTTAAAGACGACTGGAGAATGAAGACTTGAACAGAGTGTAAAATTCTTGTTGGTTCTGTGGATCTCGTCTATCCAAGCTGATCTTTATTTTGTTTATTTTTTCTATTGAATTCAAGTCGGGTGATTGGCTGGGCCATTCTACAGATTGATTATTTATTTCTGAAAGCATTTGAAAGTTTCCTAGGCTGTGTTTTGGATCATGAAATGTCCACCCTGGTTTCATCTTCACCATCCTAATAATGTAGATGCTGGACTGAAGCAGCTAATTACACTGACGAAGGGCAGAGGCTTGCTGAAGAACTACTGAGAGATTTCAGTTGCTGTCTGAGCTTTCACTGCCTTTCTACACCTCCCCTTCTTCATGTGTTCAACACTTTTTCCCTGTGTCATTTCATTTCATTGCACATAACTTAACTTGTCAAATAATTAGTTTTGTTTGCTTTTCATATATTGATTTCTTTGGTTGTTATCAACATCTGGTAAAAAAATTCAAGACAACAGCATCTTTAAAAATATGTTTTCTGAGAAAAATGCTGACGTGTTCAATACTTATTTCCCAACTGAATATTTTGAATGAGATGTAATCACTATGATTAAATCTATCTTGAAGTCTAATTAGAACAGTTCACGTTTTAATTTTTAATTGATTGATTATGGTTTATACCATGTAAAGTACCTTTTGTGTGTGTTTGTGTGTTGTGATATGCACTTCTTTGTAACTTTGTCTGCTGCCTGGCTTGACCAGGACAGCCTCATAAAAGAGATATTGTATCTTAATGGAACCTTCCTTGAATTAAAATCAAACAAATAAACAAAAATAAATAAATAAATAAATAAAACATAATGGCTGACAGCATTGTTTTTGCATGACAGCAAAATTGTGTCATTATTACAATATAATTTTGCATTTAACAGCATTAAAAGTAGAGATTACATTTTGGAATTAACATTTTTGTGATATAATGGTGATCTGTATTTGCACCTTTTTTACACCTATAATTAGACTGACATACATTATAAAAAATACATTATATACAAAATACATTTTACTGTTATATACATTGCTTATAAAGAAAAAACATACATCTGCAAAAAAAGTTTTAAAATGTTGTATGCCATTTAATAAACCAATAAGGACTTGAATAACAAACTCTGAATTTGTTTGTTTAAAACATTTCCACATTTCAGACGACACCATGAAACTTTTTCAAAAGTCAGAAATTAATCAAGCTTTGTTTTTGCACATATTTTTCTATAAAATATTTCAGAGTGTATTTTTAAGACTTGGTTGTGTTTTTAAGATGCAAAGCAATCACTTGTAGAAAATTACATGCTTCACTTGTTGAAAATTACATTTTTTTTTCATTGATCTTACATTTATTATATTCTGCTACTCAGCTAACATGAAAACGACATGTCATATGTCCTAGTTCCTCCAAAAGTCCTAATTGGTCAACTAACATAATGTGCTGTGATTCGTGGATCAGCCCTACGTCACCACATCACGCCCCTACAAGCACACATTTTTTGCACTGTGTACATAGAGTGTACATATTTGCAGCGTTAGCTGCATGACTAAGACAGAAAAATGGAGAGCACACAGCTGAACATCATGCCTGCTCTCTAAAATAACAACTGACAAGTGTCTTTCACATATATTTAGAATAAGCGTGTTTAAGTAATATAAAAAATTCATAGCTTTTGTGAGTTCGCTATTTGAGATGTAGAACGCAGGGAAAGCAGCCACATAGTGAGACACTGCAGCGTTGCTGAAGATTGTGTGTGCTTTACAGAGGTGTGACTGATAAATATGAATTTGTAGCTAAATTGTTAGCAGTGCCGAACAACATTTTCCGTTGTTTACATCCTAGCAACAACAAACCATTAATGCTAGAAACCGTGCATGTAATTGATACATTTTTACAAATAAAAATACTTACAGGCTGTGGCTCACAATCCACAGCTTTGTCTGTTGGAAGAGTTTTAACCAAATCTAGCACTGTACTAGGAGAGATTCTGGAAGCTCTCCAATGTCAAATGCTAGCTATATATTTTTTTAATTCTCTGGAACATAATTATCCGGTTTCCCCCACAGTCTAAAGACATGCGGTACAGGTGAATTGGGTAGGCTAAATTGTCCGTAGTGTATGAATGTGTGTTTGTATGTGTTTGCGTTTCCCAGAGATGGGTTGCGGCTAGAAGGGCATCCGCTCCGTAAAAACTTGCTGGATAAGTTGGTGGTTTATTCCACTGTAGCAACCCCAGATTAATAAAGGGACTAAGCCGACAAGAAAATGAATAATGAATGAATGAATGGAACATAATTAAAATTTAATTGTAAGCACTTCTCTCTTTGTGTCGTGTCATTTGGAAGCCCAAATCTAGAAACAGAGGAAGCTCTATTAAAATAGCAACGTATGGATATTAAAATGTCTCTGGTCACACCCCTTCGCTGCTCGTGGTGAATACTTGTAATCTTACTAGCCCAGATGTATTTTTTTTGTAGTCCCCAAACTTTGTTCGCTGTAGGCTTTGCGGTAACACTTTATAATAACTACACACTATAATTAATTTATCAAGCATTAGCATCTAGTGAATTCATTATCTGTTTAGCATTAACTCTACATTAATAAGCGTTAGTAAGCAGTTTATATCTGCAGCTACAAATGCTGTATTCTTGACTTACAAACATATTTAAAATGTGCTTAATAATTGTACTTTCATACATTGTTAATTATATATTTTTCATTACTTAAGGAAGTATTGCATTATTTACAAACCATTTGTATTTAAAAGTTGTTTAGGGTTTTTAGGATCATTCAGAATGAGTTAGTAAATGAATAATAAACTATTGAAATCAACGTTTATATATCTTATAATTCAGGCATATATTAATGGTTACTCTGTATGTTAATAAATGCTTTATTAACTCAACTTCATGCAGTTTTGTGACCTAATCTAAAGCGAGCACTATTTATGCTTTATAAATCTCTTATAAATGACAAATAAAGGTTCAGTTAAATTCTGAACAGGAAAAATGACATAAACTACATTATTCAAATGAAACTGTACTTCAAATGAAAAATAAGTCTGCAACCTTATCTAAAATCACTGCAGAGTTTAAACATTGCATCTTATTATATTGTTAAATTATTATATTGTTGTTGTTTTACCCAGTTTTATGTCGTTTTTTGACACTCCTGTTATTTGCCATGTTTAAACTTTACAGTAATTTTACTTTTTAGAAAAGATTTCTAAGATTATTGTTCATTTGATTGAGCCTTTAAATGTCATTTATAAGGGATTTATAAAGAATGAATAGTCCTCACTTTAGATTAGGTCACAAAACTGCATGAAGTTGAGTTATTAAAGCATTTATTAACATATTAGTTAACTATTAGTATATGCCTGAATTATAAGATATATAAATGTTGATTTCAATAGTTTATTAATCATTTACTAACTCATTCTGGATGATCCTAAAAACCCTCAACTACTCTTAAATACAAATGGGTTGTAAATAATGCGATACTTAATTTAGCAATGAAAAATAAACCACTAACTAAGTATGAAAATACTATTATTAAGCACATTATATAGGTGCTTAAAAGTCAAGAAAAGAGCATTTGTAGCTGCAGTTATAAACTGCTCCCTAACGTTTATTAATGTAGAGTTAATGCTTAACAAATAATGAATTCACTAGATGCTAATGCCTTATCAATGATTTATAGTGATAGTTATTATAAAGTGTTACCGGCTTTGCTAAGCTAACTCTGTAAAAGCCAATATCCCCCTTTGCATTAAACTTTGAGCAGATGTTTTTTATGTTCACACAGCTACATTACACATCAACTAAACATTAAAATATGATATCGTAGTGGACCACCCCTTTAAAACATAATTTCAAGTTATTTTAATCTAAATTTGGGTAAAATATGGACAAAGTTAACCACTGGGTTGTATATTAAAATTAAATATATAGGTAAGCTTTAACACAATGCTTGGATTAGTCTTTATTTTTACTCAAATTTAGGTTGAAATAATCAGCATAAATAAGCTAAAGTGTGCTTAAAAAGCTACTTTAAAAATTCAGAGACAGAACAATGTACGATAATTCCCCTATACATAATAACAGTATATTGCATTATCACAGTATTGCATGACTACATATCGTATCAGTACATGTCTATGTCTAGTCTACAACTTAACATTACATTTAAAAAACATTTCCGCAGACTCACCGTGGGCAGGTTGGCACAGCTGGATTTGACATCATACTCAATGTACGCCACTTTGATGCCATCTTTCTCCCCAACCTTCGTGTAGCACAGGTCTCGCGTAGCATCAATCCCACGGTCCACTTCCTCCAGAGAGTACACACACAATGCAGATTCCTCACCGGGTCCATTAGCAGCACTAACCCCTGTCGAAAACACTCCCATTAACACCTGCGATCCTCCAGACTCCTCCCCGCCCACTTGCGCCCCCTGCAGGAAACTGTAAGTCCTTCCAGTCGAGCGTGAGCGACATGTCAGCGGTACCTCGACGTAAGAATAATACGCCTGATCGTCCAAACAAACTCGTGCAACATACGTCCGATACTCCCTTGAGGCAGCCTTCAGGTCACGTCTATAAAACAAAAAGTAGACGTGGTTACGTCGCGCAAAGGTGGCGACAAAATTGTGATCATACTCCGAAAGACGTCCAGCAACAGCAAGTTTGGCGGTTTCCTCGTAGGAAAACACAGGCTCTGTTGAAAGCTGCCGAGTGGAGACTGGCGGGTGACTGCTGGTGTATCCTCGACCTACATACAAGACGGGATCCTTGTCTTGCGGTCGCACCACTAGCCCAACTGTTGACGCTAACGGGTCATTAGCCGCCACATACTGCGTATCTACAGGCCTCTCGGCAGAGAAGAGCACTTCTTTAACATTGGCGAGGCTTCGTTTCTGGCAGGTGCCCTGGTGGACGCTGCCGCAGGTGATGAGCTGGAGGGAATATGGGTCCACCAATAGGAGCTTGTTGTGGTTGCTGACTAGCCCAGCCTGAGGGCAGTTCTGCCGGGTCACTGGAGGCAGACAGTCCTTGCTGTCTCTCACCGGGCCGGTTTCCTCATCCACTTCCAGACGGAGGCCATCAAGGCCGGCCAGCTGGAACAGATGGTCCCGGGCCCCCACATACACGGTGCCTACGCTGGGATCGGGGTGCAACGCCAGGTGCTGAAGGAGTGTGTGGTTGGAGGAGAAGCGAGGGTAACTGCTGTGGAGCCCCAGAACACCCAGGATGAGGGACTGAAGCAGGGTCAAGATGAGGGCCATCCCACACTGCACTGCAAACACACTAAGCACATATGATACGAGTCAGTAATACTGCAGCATTAGCGCACAGTACAGTGATGAATATAGTACAGTTATGTGAGAGGACATATTAAAAATACCTAGATTAAATCTAAAAATCTAGATTAAAGGGATGGTTCACCCAAACATGAAAATCTACTCACCTTAAATGTTTCTTTGTTCTGTTAAACACAAAAGAAGACATTTTGATGAAAGCTAAAAAGCTGGAACCATTGATTTCCATAGCATGAAAAACAGATATTATGGAAGTGAATGGCTACAGGTTTTCACCTTCCTTCGAAATATCTTTTTTGTATTCAGCAGAATAGCTGAGAAAATTATGACAAACTTTTTTTTTTGGGTAAACTATCCCTTTAAGAATAATTATAAGCTGTGGTTTTGATTTAGTATTAGATATGTTTTATTAACCCTTTGATTCACAAGCTATAAAATAAATATAATAAAAATAAGCTTAGACAGGTCACTTTAAACCCATGTAGTGCATCAAAGTGTTAAGAGGGTCATGCTAAAAGGAAGAATCAACAAGTAATGGCAATCAGCACCCAATAAAAAAAGAAATATGGCAATACCATGGTGATGGAATGAAATGGAAATACTAACAGCATTTTGAAATATTAGATTTTTTTTTACTATAATAAAAAGAATAAATTATAGTATTTAAGTAGTACTCTGTTATTTACAATTCATTTAAAATGGTAAATATCCCCCTGAGTAAAATAAAATATAATGAATACAAAATACTTTTAATAAATTAATAATAATGATAATAATAATAATAATAATAATAATTTGTAACATATAATATAAAAAAGAAACAATACAAAATGTTAATAATAATATAATAATAATAATAATAATAATAATAATAATAATAATAATAATAATAATTTGTAATATATAATATTTATAAAATAATAAACAATACAAATGTTAATAATAATACTAATACTACAACTACTTCTACTAGTACTACTACTACTAATAATAATATAATAATAAGTATACTTTACAATATATATAGTATAATAAAAATAATAAACTATACAACCTGTTAATAATAATAGTAATAATTTATGATACATATTATATAATAAAATAATAAATTATACAAACTGTTAATAATAAAAATAAATAATAATAATAATAATAATACTTTATAATATATTATATAATAAAATAATAAACTATACAACCTGTTAATAATAATAATAATAATAATAATAATAATAATAATAATAATAATAATAATAACTTATAATATATATATAATAAAATATAAAATATACAAATAGGTAGTAATAATAATAATAATATATAAATATAAATATAATAATAATCTAAATATAATTAAAATAAACTATAAAACTGTTATTAATAATAATTATAATAGGAATAATCAGTTATTATTTCAAAGTGTCGATATCAAATATCAAATATGATATAGTGTACTTTCAAAAAAGTCTATTTATTTGATACATTTTCAACTAAGTGACCTAATCAACAAAATAATTAAGAACAATGTGTATTCTGTATTGCTCAAGACTTATTTTAGGAATCCTGTGGCTATGTTAATATATATAACAGAGAGAAGATTTCTTCATCACATTTCCAAACATAATAGTTTTAATGACTTTTCTTAATTTCTAATAACTCATTTATTTTATTTTTGCCATGATGACAGTAATAATATTTGATTAGATATTTTTCAATACACTTTTATACAGCTTAAAGTGACATTTAAATGTTTAACTAGGTTAATTGGGTTAACTAGGCAGGTTAGGGCAATTAGGCAAGTTATTGTATAATGATGGTTTGTTCTGTAGATCAGTGGTTCTCAAATATTTTTCATCAAGTACCACCTCAGAAAAAAATTGTCTCTTCAAGTTCCACCAAAATGAGCAGTATTGAAATATAGTAGCGTAGTAGGCCCAGTAAAGCAGCTACAACTTACAAAAGTTAAAACATTTTTACAAAGTTAAAAAATGTGGCAGATTACCTTAGAAATATAGACTATATGTCATATATAGCTTATTATGTACATCATTTTTGATAAATTTTGAAATGTGTGTAGCATGTACATCACATATTTAATTCCTCCGCGTACCACTAGAAGGAAGCCTGCGTACCACTAGAGGTACACGTACCACAGTTTGAGAACCACTGCTGTAGACTATCGAAAAAATATAGCTTAAAGGGGCAAATATTTTTGACCTTAAAATGCCTTTTAAAAAATTAAAACTGCTTTTATTCTAGCCGAAATAAAACAAATAATACTTTATCCAGAAAAAAAAAATTATCAGACATATTGTGAAAATTACCTTGCTCTGTTAAGGGAAAAGAAATAAAAAATTCAAAGTGGGTCTAATAATTCTGACTTTAATTGTATTTTTATTCATATATATTACAATGGTACACAAATAAAAATTTATTACCATGCTATAATGTCCCCCTAAAACATGACAATGTAAAATAAGAAAATAACCATGTCTTTGTAAGTAAATACATATATTCCCTATAATGGTACTTCACCACTGTATTACCATGGTAAGTACAAATATCTTGATAATTCCATGTATTTGTAAGTCTAAATAAAAACACAATGAATGAGTTGTCTACAATATAAATGAATTATGATTCTGACAAGACAACAATCTCCAAACAAGGCCTGTGAAAACACAGCCCCGGTCAAGAAACATGATGTAAAAACAGCACATACCATTTGTCAGACATATAATGTTCGAGAGGCTGCTGTCCTCTTGGTTATCCAGTGGCATAGCACATGCCTGCGGAGACGGTCTGTGAGGGTAGAAAAACATGCCGATTAGCTCTTACACAGAGCGCCATTGAGCAATCTGAAGAGAGGAGGCTTAATGCCATTGTGGCTCATGGGAGACACAGCTGTTGAGCTGAGCAATCCTCCCCTGACAGGAAATTGGATGATCCAGGCCCTCAGTCACCAGCGGGGCCCTAATGCATCGCTCTGCACTAGCAGATTGGCACAGATCCTGTACTCCTCCGAGGAGGCAAACTGTTTGTGATGTTTTATATGAATAAGATGTGATTAATAAGAGGCCATTATAGGCTAGTAGTGTCCGCTTTCTTTAGGCAATTCAAGCTGACCTAAACAATCAATAAGATAAAAGTAAAATAATGTGATTTGATGACCTGTGTTATGGCTCAGCATCACCCCTGGTGCAACATTTCCCTAAGAGGCACACCTTACTTTCATTACACACATTCAATGGTACTGATCTTTTTATCCATGCTGGCGTGGGATATAAGGGGAGAGTAAGGAACACACAAAACTGCCTGCAGGTCAGTGCATACAATAAGGTATTATTGTTCATGATATTATTTGTGGTCCTTTTTTAATTTATTTTATTTTTATTTTTATTATTATTTCTATTTTGTTTTTAGTAATAGTTCTTTAAAGGAGTTGGACATAACATATTTGAAGATGCACGCCTCAGTAAACTTCAGAAGATTCATAAAAGTTTGTGATTTGCAAAAAATGACCAGCGTAAAAAGTTTTTTACTGACCGTGCTATGTGTTTTTGATTTTGCTCATGGATCAACTCATTATTTGTGTAATTATTTATTAAAAGAGTCTAAAAACTGGTCTAAAACTGGTTCTTTTTTGTTTTTGTTTGTTTGTCATGGTACATTTTCAAAAAGATAAATACAAGTATACAAAATTTCTGGGTTACATAAAAAGCAAAACAACAAATACAAAGTGAAAATAAAAAAAGCAAAAACAAGGTAATACCATGGTATATTAGACTCAAAAAAACTATTTTACCATGCATATTGACATGAACAATAACCCAACAAAGTTTTGTCAGTTGGGCATATTACGGTTGTCTAAATTATTTTTTGGTTGATTTTATAAACTGAGTTCTTTTAATTTTATTACCATCAAACCTATGGCGGTTCAATTATGACCTTAATCATTTATTTATTCATTTTCTTTTCGGCTTAGTCCCTTTATTAATCTGGGGTCGTCAAAGTGAAATGAACTGCCAACTTATGCAGCATGTTTGTACACAGCGGTTGCCTTTCCAGCCGAGGCTCAAACCAGCAGCCTTCTTGCTGTGAGGCGACAGCACCTACTGCACCACTGCGTCGCCTCATGACCTTAATCATATTAACTCAATCAAACGTGGATGTTTACATGGTACACTGCAATTTTTAGATAGTAGATTTAACTAACTTAGAGTTAAAATGAACACTTCCTCAGAGTTTATTTGGCAACCACTATAAAAGTGTTAAAAATAACACTTTTGAAAGTGTTAACGTTATCAACACTAAGAGAGTGTTAATTAGCAAACTCTTATAGTGTAAAATATCTGTTAAATTTACGAAAAAAATACCAGCAGTTGTGGTTACCAGAATTTTTCTGTGAAAAATATGGAAGTTTTATATAACTGTATACATTTTTGAACAAATAACCGTATTTCATGAACTGATCCAATGTTCAGTTTACAAAATCATAGCTTAGTGCACAAAAATGTAAAGTCATTAGATGCATTAATGTGTTCATGTGATTGCAATTAACAAACAGATTTTCACTGCATTAGTAACTACACAGTTACCTTTAAATAAAAGATGATGCAGCATAACATCATTATGTAACATTTTACATTCTTAAATTCAGTTTACAGAATATTTCTGTTAAAATTCCACAGTCAGTATTTGTTATTTAACACATACTCTTATTCAGAGTATTGTCTTAATCAGTTTAAAATCTGATTATTGGTGTCCATTGGTGCTTTAATGTTAATGTATGTTTTTTATACATATATTATTACATAAAGTCAATTCCAAAATTATTCATAAACCTGGCGAAATCTGACTCAAAGTCTGACTTATTTTTTTTACTAGAAATGACACAGGCTTATCCCAAAAGATTATGAGACAATATACAAGAGAGATCATTGCGGAAAAAAAAACTTTAAGTAATATTTCAAGTAACTTTAAGTCAGGGCAGTATAGTGACTCGCAGCAAGAAGGTTGCTGGTTCGAGTTCTGTCTGTTTTCATGTTCTCCCCGTACAACATAACAACACAAATGTGGATCTTTGTGAAGTAGTTTTTTCAAGTGCATTTTTAACAAACAATATTGTGCATACCTAAAAACATAAAAACATACACACAAAAAAATTGTACACCACCTGACAAAAGTCTTGTCACCTATCCAAGTTTTAAGAACAACAAATAATAACTTGACTTCTAGTTGATAATTTGGTAGCAGAAGTGGCTTATATGAAAGACAAAGGCCTCTAGATTATGCTTATTTTACCCAAATAAAATATGCCTTGATTTTTTAATATTTAATTAGGACAGCAAGATCTGACTTTGCTTAGACAAAAGTCTTGTCACTTAACAGAAATAATGTAGGGTATAGAATATAAAATCAAGGTGCAGTGGAAAAAGAATAAATATTGTGTATGACTCCCATGAGCTTGGAGGACTGCATCTACACATCTCTGCAACGACTCAAAGAACTTACTAATAAAGTCATCTGGAATGGCAAAGAAAGCGTTCTTGCAGAACTTTCAGATTCTTTGGATTCATCTTCCTTTTGCCTTTTCCTTCATCTTACCCCAGACATGCTCAATAATGTTCATGTCTGGTGACTGGGCTGGCCAATCCTGGAGCACATTGACCTTCTTTGCTTTCAGGAACTTTAATGTGGAGTATGAGAAGGAGCGCTATCCTGCTGAAGAATTTGCCCTCTCCTGTGGTGTGTAATGTAATGGGCAGCACAAATGTCTTAATACCTCAGGCTGATGATGTTGCCATCCACTCTGCAGATCTCTCACACGCGCCCATACTGAATGGAACCTCAAATCATAATTTTTTCTTTACCAAACTTGACTGATTTCTGTAAGAATCTTGAGTCCATATGGGTTCCAATAGGTCTTCTGAAGTATTTGTGATGATTGGGATGCAGTTTAACAGATAATTAATCTGAAAAATCTCCAATAATCTCCAAACGAACAACTAAAAGTCAAGTTATTAGGCTGGCTTGTGTAGAAACTTCTTCTTCTTCTGAGACTAAAAATTAAACTCTTATCTCCTCCTAGAGCTTTCAAGCTATGACCCTCAAACTCGAGTCAGACCTCCGAACTATTCAGACTCGGATTGCTATATCTTTTCTGACTGATCCGACTTTCGGTTTTCCGAAAAAAGTCCCGGGACCGTCGAAAAATCTCATAGACTTAACATTGGATCAAAGTTTGTGACCTCATAACTCTTCTAACTTCTAACTAGGCTCATTTAACTCAGACTATCAAACTGCCAATGACTCGTCATCTTTAAACTTTCTAGCCACGCCCTAGTAACCACTTTTGGACCCTATAAACCGTCCCATAGACTTCCATTCAAAAGACTGATTGACTTTACATTGGATCAAACTTTGTAAGCTCATAACTCTGCATCAGACTTTCCTACAGACTAATGGCTGAGCTCATTTTACTCAGTCTAGCCAGCAACCAATCACTGATGGCCTTTTAACTTTCTAGCCACACCCTAACCACCACATACTGCACCCTAGCAACTGTCCCTTAGACTGCCATTATAGAGGTTCAGATTGATATCGTCATGCTGCAGTGTGATAAAGACATGGGGTTGTTTTTAACTGTTCATACTGGCAAGAAGCTTTGATACATCATCAGTCTAAGCTGTCAATTAACTCCATAGCAACAAAACAGACTAACCTAGAAACATTGTAGAGAAGCGGGGGTTGGCTTGTTTGACTCATGCTAGCACACCATCTATCTATCTATCTATCTATCTATCTATCTATCTATCTATCTATCTATCTATCTATCTATCTATCTATCTATCTATCTATCTATCTATCTATCTATCTATCTATCTATCTATCTATCTTTTCAAACTTTTTAAAAAACTGTTTAAACTAAATAAACTATTACCATCAGGCTTTCACAAGCCAGCCTCAAAGTTTGTCCTCAAACTTTAAGAATCTAGTTATTTGTTGCTCTTGACAACAAGATTTTTGTCAGGTAGTGTACATGAAATAATACAAACACAGAAATGCATGGATCCATGTTTACCCTGTTTGTCACAAAATAGCATAAAGCTGCAAATTTTAGCTGTCGTTTGCTCATTTTCAGATACCAAACTTAGTGGAACAAGTGTGTAACATATATTTTCTAACAATATAATGTGATAATACTGATAACTGTGATCATTTTGGTGACTATAGTCATGATAAGAAATGGTCATATCATTGCATACTGATGTCCAATTACGTCAGTGAATTTCTTCCAAGTTAGCAAATAATGACTTGACCCCAATTACAGCTCCTTTTCTGCAAAGCAAACAAATAAAAGTGCCCCGATCTGACCTACTACTACCGCATTTTGTAGGTGTGTTCGGAAAGCGTTCAGAAAACCCCCTTCGATATTAGTGTGTCCCGTGAAAGGCAGCACAAACAAAAGGTCTCAAAAGAAGCTCAACCTCCACAGTTAGAGAATAATAGAGGCTTGTTAGACCGAGCACTTTTAAATCTTCACTAGAATAGACATGCAGGTGGTGTTGATTTAACACCAATGACAGTGCAGGCCAACACAATGCAGAGTCTCCTCTTCACAGGGAAAGAGGGGGGGAAGGAGAACCACGAAAGAGCGAGAGAGCAGGGATCCCACACAAGAATGACAAGCACTTCAGCCTGTATTAAAGGATAAAACTTTGAGCAGGCCAATGCGGAGTGTCCCTGAGCTGAAGGGAGTGTATTGTTTGGAAGTGTTCCCAGGGGTGCAGAAAGATGGC